GCCCGACTTGATCGAATTAGACCAAGACTGACAGACACCTGAGTTAAAAATTTGAGAGAAGGCCTTAACCCACCTCTCTATAGATCCAACCCGAATAAAGAATCCAATTCCTCGCCATCACCAGCATCCCACGGATGCGCCCAAATTTTCTCATTAGGGACCAAAAATTGACAAAACAATATAGCCTCATAATCATCCCAAAAGTTTTCTCGTTAAGGAATAAACTACCTATAGAGTTACGTTGGTTCATTCTCCTCTTGGTAGCCTAGCTTCGTTCTGTTGGTAGGTGCTCCCCTTTTTGGGATCGAGGGTTGATGGTTAGAATTGATCAACCGATCGACAAAGTTTGTTCGATTATGTTAGTCCCGCCTATTCGAAGCTAATCAGTTCAGTCGGCCAATTGCACCGGCTCAACCTAGTCTACTGAATCAACCTTACCAAATCGAAGTCATGGTAGTACACTCAACCGAGTCATTGAGCAACCGATCAATATACTCATACATGTAAAATATGTAGAATATCCTATATAGCCCATATTAAACCAGGGGCATAAATATAATCTCATATTTTGCACCATTTTCAATAAATAATGAGATAATTTTATTAGAAAAGACGAACAGACAAGATAGTTTACTATTTATTATTGTTCATTTATTTACGTGTTTCTCTTTTCTTTCTTACGCTCTAACCTTTTGGGTATGATTCATGGACAAATTATAATTCAAGGGTAGGAATGCTATATTATCTATTATTTTGGTTAAAAAATATAACCAAATAATTTTGATAAAAATGCTATATTATCATAAAGGAGTGTTAAACAACAACTAATAAATTTACTTTTTTATAGAACGGTTACTCAACTTTAATTTTTTTTCTTCAACCAATATAGTTATGCGACATTCCTCATTCACGGTCCTTAGTACTGTTCATAATTGTTAACTTGTTCGATTGATCATCCCAATTTCTCTTCCATTGCATTTTACCTCTCCGGGTATCTAACAACCGGACATCCCAGCGATCCGACAGCCGTCAATCCCACCTTCCTTAATGGTAATATTCTCTTGATTCCCTCTTTCACTTTTGATTCAGATCGTTTTGTGCGCTACCTGTTAATGCGCCACTTGGTCATAAGCTCTAAACTTCTTTTATAAAGTTTCTTGTCCCTACTAATTGGTTGAATGTTGGGAGAACTGTGCTTACTCCGTAAACCATAGTTGTCGCTGTAGTTTGGTTTTCATTATAGAATTATTTCTGATCAGTGTAGTATTGTTTCCTTTTTAGGTTGTAATTTGATCATCAGTGGAAGAATAACAGGCTCGAGGAGATTGTAAGCTTTAACTGTAGGCTTGAGGATGATGCAAGCTTCAAGTGACTATCGTTCCCAGTTAGAGTTTGTCTAACAATGCTAGCGGAGAATTGTTTTTGCTTGAATGCATGAAGGATAATTGACATTCTATGTAAAGCGCTAAAAGCCTGAAAGACGAAAAGGTTTTAATTTAGAAAATAGAAAGAATATAAAATCTCATTCTTGTGGAGTTTTATGACTTGCATACAGTACAAACACAGATAATTCGTGGAATCTGAACTTTGACACGTTTCTCTTACATGTTTCATCTGGTGGATATAATTGTTAATTGATGTCTGGAAAATAAAGGACAATCATATAAATTCTTAGAGATATTCCCTTGCTTTGTTATTAAAACCTATTAGAGCTGGTGGAAGTTTTGCATCCAGCTTCCAAGAGTTTATCTGCCGAACGATGTCATTTATGTTACATAAACTTCTAGTGGTAGATCCTAAGTGGATGGTCGCATACTATTTATAGTTTAGAGTCTAAAATAATGTTGGTCCTGCAAAATGCTAAAGAGCAAATTTGAGCATGTTGCAGCCTCCAGATTGCCAGGCTTTGACAGAATATTAGCAAAAGCATGCCTTCAAAAGTTTTTTGTTGCTCACAAGAAGTGGATGTTCGCATACTATTTATAGTTTAGAGTCTAAAATAATGGATACATCAACAAATTAAGGATAAGACTTGTTGTGCACTAGAAAATCGAGCATATAAAGAGTTTTATGTGGAAAAATCAAGGTGAGAAAACCATAAGATATTGCCAGCCATAAAAAATCGATTTGTGCTTCTTTACAATTGGAGGAGGCAATAGTTCTATGCAAAGAAATTCAATTGAAGACTGACTCTTGAAGTATCAGTAGGATGCAGCCATGTTGATGTCGACAAAGGATGGTGGGCGTCAATCGATGATGTTAATGAGGGACAATGGCTTGCATTTGATGTAGTCCACTGATAGACTTTTTTCCAGTAGGAAGTTGGGCAACATTGATTAATGGATGTTTTATGACAATGAAGGGGAGATTCCATGCTTGGAGTTGGTCGTTGGTTAGCTAATTTTGGTAGATTACGAAGGTTGAAGATTGACATTGAGGGCAGGGCATCATTGAATGTTGGGAGTTGGATGTCGGTTGACGACAACAACTGTCTGACAAATATTCGATGTGTGATCAGCTTAACATTGAATGTCTTTTGTTGGAGGATGTTGAATATATGTTGTTGGCAAACATGTGCTATTTTGTTGGCCTGGAAACAACCGAGTAGTCTTCTTACAATTGCAAAGTTCTTTATTTTTCACAAGTGCTTCTAGTTTAAAATTTTAATAATAAGAATTGATGCCTATTTATATATTTTGAGAGGGATTTATGTTTTCTAGTTTTGATTTTTTCTTAAGTTTTCTTCATTATTATAAAAAATGAATCCACTAGATCGTACCTTCCACTATTAAAAAAGTGATTGGATAATTTTACCTCTGGCCAATCCTCATCAACTTTGCCATACAATGATTGGGCCGAGTGCTAGGCCAACAATCGACATTGATAGTTTGGTGGGGGTGCAATAATGGCCACTGGGGATGAAGCTTTTCATTGATGAACGAAATGTATTATCTTGAAGCCCTTAACACTGAGCGCAATAGAGTTGATGCATCAAAATTAGATGCTTGGATAGCCCGAAATAAGACTTGGAACATAGGCTGTATCTAATGACACCAAAAGACAATGATGATTGGTCATTATCTTGGTATCGATTTGTTTGTCTTAATAATGGAAAATGTATCTCTTTGATAATTCATTAATTAGATGTCTTTGCGAGCCACAATAATTTAAGAAAGTGTATGGATGACATGTAGGGCTGACATAAAACAATGGCAAAATGCCTTCATTTTTGTGGTGAAATGTTGTTGAGAGCAATCTAGTGCTGTGAACAACTCATAACTTCATTGCCTATGGAGGTTATGATTACTTTTAGAAGTTTAAATTTTCCAATATTCCTTTTACTAATTGTGCACAAACCGAAGTATTTTCTCGCAATTCATTGGCCAATACATTTGCTCATGATTAGAGTTTTCCAGAGGTAGTATGGACTATTCAATTTGCTAGCATGATTGGCAATGACAGATTGGGTGTAGGTGATGGCGAGGAGCTCATATAGAGAATTTCTATGGTTAAAGTTTGGAGTGAGGAGGAAGGAGGCAGGGTCCATGATGTATTTTTTTGGTTTTGAAGGTGTAGTTGCACCCAAACAAATTCAGATCTACGTGCTCTAAGATTTTTTCGAATCAACTTGATGATTTGTTCATTTTACATACTTTTTAGAAAAGTTTAATTATTCTTATTGCTAGCTTTTTGAGGTCATTTAGAATTGGGCCCCATTAGATTCATAACGTCGAAGCATATTTTGTGGTTTTGAAAATAGGACTGGACTAGCTAGTCTAATCGGTTTAGCTTTGGATTAGTCTTATAGATAGTTTGGTCTAGTCCCTAATACATTTTCATACCTAATTGACCAAAATTGATCATAACTGGCGATTGTACTTGGGAACTAGCAAACTGCTTCTATGTTTCATGAATCTTGAGACTATAATATTGATTTTCTTATGACTTTTTTTTTATTAGAAGGCTAGAAATAAAAGATTTGGATTGAAAATTACTTAATTTATATAACCTAATTTGATGTTGAATATTTTATAAATATAAGAAATAATTTAGTAATTTTTTTTTCTAATTTATGTCTTCATTGACATTTCAATCTAGTGATAGTGTTTCATATATTTTTGCAAGCATTTGTATAAATTTATAATTAATATACAGAGAAAATAATTAAATTTCACATCCCAAAATTTTGAAAAAATTGTGAAAATCATTTTCAAAATATTCGATGGCGAAGAGTTCCATTTTAGAATGTTGTATATTGATTGGTGAAAATGTCATACTTGCATCATTCTTATATTATTTAAGCCATATTAAAATTATATTTGGTTCAACCTTGATTGGCGCTTTGACGTTAAACTTCTTCCTTTTCTTTCAGTTCAATGTCCGGTTTGATTTTCAAGACCTTATAAAATCATCTCAATTATAAATTTGTTGGAACAAAGTTCGGATGGCCTCTAAATTATTTTATAATTGTTTTAAATTTAATTTTTAGAGATTTTTGGATTTGAAACAATGTGTGGAATCTACTCATGTTTGATCACGTTTATTTTGAGAACCATCTCAAGACTAATTATAAAATGGTATATGGCATTCATCCATTAGAAGGATAGGATATCCGTCAGGATCCAAATTCTGAGCTTGTGCATGTTAAATGTATCAGCCAATATTGGTCCCACTTTGAGGTCCTATGGAAATTAAATTTAAAAAATCAGTATAGGAAATGAATTTATTTATTTATTTAATTTTTAAATAGGATTCATGCAATAACTGCATTGATTTACCTAACATAATCAAATCATTTGATTACCTTTACATGGATTCATATTTATTCCCGGCGAACATGTCACCATAGCATGGGTTTGACTCATGCTCCTTTTTTATATTTCTTTTAGCATTTTGTTTCTTGTATTATCTTATCCAGTATAAGATGTTCTCCCCTCTTTTTTTTTTGTTTAGCGTTATTCACCATTGTCAAAGGGATTTTTGGTTGTCGTTCTGTTCAGATTTTCTGCTGGGATGGGCTTGTGGACCTTGCTGGAAGGATTCCTGCTTCTTGCAAATGCATTGGCTATCTTAAATGAGGACAGATTTCTGGGTCCAAGAGGATGGAGTTTCTCAGAGGTTTCGGCAGGTGGCCGAACAAAATCTCTCAAGGGGCAACTCATAGGGCTTATATATGCAACTCAATACTTGAGAGTTCCTCTTATCATCTTGAACTTAATCATCGTGGTTGTGAAGTTAGTTTCAGGATGAGATGTGAGGTAATTTGTGAGTTCTATGCCATGTAGGGTTGTTCATACTATGTGGTCATCAAAATGATCCAAAATGCTTTATATTTTGTTTTTTTTGAAGTTATTTATCCTTTTTAGAAGCCCTTAATGAAAGTACAAAGTGCCTGCTCTTACATGTGCGTATATTAGGCACATATCTTGTTTGTTAACATGTTCTCAGTTGTTAAAAAATATTTTCGGTTGCTTTCCACAGCTTTATTTGTTGCTTTAACTAGTTCTTATTGTGCATGCAAGAAAGGTCTGCTAATATTGATATTTATATGTTTATTTCATTACAATTAATACAATTCTTACATTTTCCTTATTCTCCACTAGACGAATCATACTGGCATAATATTAGAGTTAACCCAAACAACATTGACAAATGCACTTTATTGCTAGAAATCAAATAGAGGTTACAACACATACAAAAAATTGAAATAACAATGATAACACAACACAAACCCCAAACTAGGACTCAAGAGGATGGTGGTGGTAAGACAGCGGTAGGATGGCTGCGGGTAGGGAAAATAGGGCCTAGAATGGATGACAGGCAACGACAATCAAGGGGATGTGGTTGGCGGCATGGGCAGGAGGAAGGGGGCTGTTGGGCGGTGGATGACAGCAAATTGGCGGCTGGGTTGCGGTATGGGAGGAAGGCTATTTGTCGACGACTGACTGCAACAGGCTGGCGGCCGGGCTGCGAAACCACAGGAAAGTTGGCGGCCAG